CCTGCTGATTGTGACCAAGAAGGCCCTGTTATTGACAAAAGTGGCGCTGTTCCTAAGTGGTCTTTTAGGATGGAATACGCTTCTTTCCGGAACACCTGCAGCGTCTTACCCGGCGAACGCGTTCAATGACTTCCATGCTTACGGACATGGAATACCGGCAGGTGTTTATTCCCATTATGAGCATCATTATCCGCAGCGGCCTTACAAAACGTTACAAGACTATACTCCTTATGATCAGCATGTCATTAGAGAAGTCGTCAATGTTTATGAAGGAAATAATGACTCGGGACAGAGTAGACAAAATGCAAAGAATTTTGTATGGACTCAAAATGATTAATTAATCGTACAATCTAAAAATATACTGACAAAACACAATAAAATTTAAATTGATTATCAATGTTTAGAAAAATCATGATTAAGATAGCTGCTCTAGATCTAGATCTAAAACTAATATTGTTTCTAATATTCCATTCAATTATTTTAAAATACAAAAAAATCTATCAATTTTTATAATATTTGTAAAAATAAATTGTTGAAAATTTAGTTTATCTGATATAATATTTTTTTTACGACAATACGAAACTAATTTAAGCATCTTTCCATTTATAGTATTCACACACGTTATATAAGTGCATAGATAAGAATTATTCATAATTTTATTGCATATAAAGTTAAGTGTCTCAAAACTAATATGTTTCTTTTAAATAATTAAACAATATTATAAAATAAAAAAAAAATTTAATAAAAGAGAGATAGAATAATTGTGGAACATTTTTTATAATAAATATTATCATACTGTTATTACATCTCATTACATGCATTATATAATTAAACATAGAACCTAATAAAAGTTGATTCAAGCATATATCAAGAAGCACCTTATTTCTCTTATTAAATTTAGATTTATATAATATGAGCATAGTAGTTATAATATTTTTTGATATTATTTTTTTACAAATATTGATTTATTTTATTTATATCATAAAATTACACGTAATTACATCTTATAATATAATATTTAACTTCTATATTTTAGTTAAAAATTATATTTTTATTTTATACATATTCTTATATCAGATAGCTTTTATTAGTATAATGCATAGTCTCTTGAAACTGCGAGGAAGAGAATGTATTTGATTATTCCAACAGAACGCTCATAATACAATTTCTTTTTTATCTGCATTGTGCAATGATCTTTATTACAAGTTTACTGTCGATTTCAAGTACCTGTCCATCTGTCCATTAACAAGGATTGTCATTGGGATTCTGGCGTTTTCACTTAGTGATGCCATTAGTCTCGGTCCATTATTGTATCATTCTTTCTTTCGGTCATCTAACTGTACAGGTAATTTTCTTTTTCTCCATCAATCTTACCTTACCTTACGCACCATCCGCAGGAGCGATAATGGTTACATCCGGGAAATGCATTTGCTCGTAAAGGAAAATACTACCGTGTCTTTACGGTCATGCGAATACATGTGTACGACCACGTGTTTATAACATCCTCTGTCAAGTGTAACAACTGAGGCGAGAATGCATTGCATGTTGTAACAACTGGTATAAAAGTTTTTTGTTTGTTTAATTATTTATATAATAAAGATATAATCTGAAAAATATATAATAATAATGTTAATAAAGGACATTTTTATTAAAAGTGCATGTTTGTAAATACAAATTTCTCTGACGAGTAGGAAAAGTGGATTACACATAAATATAATACTTTACGAGAAATGGCATTGTTATTGTTAAGATAGTGCTATTGGGTAAAGAGACCGTGACAAAACCTTACGTTTATACGTACGCTTTCTTCCTAATAATTACTCCTACTATGTCATTGAAATTGTGAAGAGTGAAGTGGATAATGAATACTTGACTTCGTATAATCGATGTCGATGTGTAATCGGAATTCACCAAGATGATGTGGAATTGTAAAAACATGGGCTGCTATAATAAATAGCTTACATTCGAAAGAGATTGCGAGAATTAAATGCATTGAATACGGTGGACAGCGTTAATCAAGTCCATTACTGTTGTAATTGCTCAGTTTTTCTCAAAATGTAGCTCGTCACGGAGCGTAATCTGTGTCGAATTAACAGTATCTTTGGTGCTACGTTATGTTCCTTGGCCTTGATTAATTATTGTGTATTGTATAATACATGCAAGACTTATATATACTTAATATATAAAAAAAATTTAATTTATTTTAATAAATATTTAATAACTAAATTAGAGAATTTATACTTTTATAGTAAATTATATAGTAAATACATTTCCTTTTTCATTGAGCATTAATCGCATTTTAACAAAATGTATTTTTCTTTCTCTACGTCAAAATGTGTATAACACAATATATTAATTAATAAAGTCAAATAATTCTTAAAGATATTTAAGGATTGGCATTACGTATGATTGTTGCTCATATTTTTATCTACTTGTATGATATTTAACAATCTTTTTAATAGCGAATGTCATAATTCATCTCTTAAAAATCTTTTAGTAAAATCTATTACTAAAATCTATTACTAAAATCTAATTCAGTCCTCTTATAATTAAAAATTCAGCAATCAAATTTTGTTGCTTCTTTTATTACAATAAATAGATTAATTTTAATTATTAAACTATTTCAAATATTTGAGATAAAAAAAATATCTGAGAGAGAGAAAGAGAGAGAAATAAAAACAGAGATTTGATTTGTATTAAAATTGGCCAGTAATCAAAATAAATAATTGGCTGCGAAAATAAAGGAAAATGATTCTACATGATTCCGTGGCAAGCAAAATTACTTATGTATGTAAATTGGTGGTAAATTTTTAAACGTTGCTTTAGTCTTGAACTTACAGTTACGCCCGGGTAAACATCGCTTGTTTTACCTGCATTCCAATGTAATCCTAATACGTCGCTATTAACGACGTTGGCGCGGCGGAGTTTTAAGGATCGTTTGATAAGCAGGTCAAAGCGATACTTACTTACGGGGCTGTACGACATTGTTTTGGTTGAGAGGGTCTCTTTTTCCGTTGTTGTGGCGTTAAACAGCGCGTGGATCAAGTACCGGCGTGTATACCAAGAATTTTAATGCGTTTGGTAGGAGAGATGGGTGCGCACTTATATAAGTCACAAAGCAACCAGATTTTTCAAGTAGTCGGTGGGATTTACTGAGCTGACCAGCTGACCATTCGAGAGAATAAGATAAAACGTAATAGAAGAAAAATCGATGGTTATTTCGTTTGAGACAGCTAAAAGACCCATAGGAAAGGAAAATTGACGACGTTAATGACGC